CTCACCTCAGCCTCCCAAAGGCACGAGATTACAGGCTGAGCCACCGAGCCCAGCTAATTTTAATTTTTTGAGTTGGAGTCTCACTCTGTTGCCCAGACTGGAGTGCAGTAGCAAGCTCCCGGTCCCACCCCAGTGTCGACCTGCTGGACTCTGGCGATCCTTCCGCCTCAGCCTTCGAAGTAATTGGAACTACAGGCGCACACGCTACCATGCCCGGCTAATTTTTGATTCACTGTAGAGATGAGGTCTCTCCAAGTTGTCCAGGTGGGTCTTGAACCCACAGGCTCAGGCAATCCACTCACCTTGGCCTCCCAAAGTGCTGGGATTACAGGCTGAACCACCAAGCCTGGCCCAGTTATTTTTAAATTTATAGAAATGCAGATTATATCATGCATAGTAAAATTAAGAAATACAATAAGTACAATAGAATTAGACTATACATAAGAATGTAAGATCTAAGTAATGAACTTTAGGTGCATGTATAATTTATATTTCAAGCTGGGTGCAGTGGCTACTTTGGTAGGCTGAGGCAAGAGAATTGCCTGAGCCCATGGGTTCAAGACCAGCCTGGGCAATTTGGCAAGACCTCATCGCTACAATTAAAAAAAAAAAATTATCCATGTGTGGTAGTGTGTACCTGTAGATCCAGCTACATGGAAGGCTGAAGCAGAAGGATCATCTGAGCCCAGATGGTCAAGGCTGTGGTCATCAGCGTACCACTGCACTCCAGCCTGGGTGACAGAGTGAGACTACAACTCAAAAAAAAAATTATATTTCACAATTAAAAAATATATTCAGATATACATGTTCAGATACCCAGTCGACACCATACTTTTTTTTTTAATACCATACTTATAAATTTAGATCACTGGTCTAAAGACTGGTGAAACTAGTATAAATTAATAAAGAAAGTCTGTGGTGAGTATTTTGACAAAAATGTTATATGTAGTGATTTAATCTCATTTAAATGTAACAGTATTTAAGAACTTAGGTAAAAGCAATTTGTAATTATAGTGATTGACTTAGAAACAAATATTTCAAAAGCTTACATATACTGTCATATGCAGTTGAGTTGGTTTTATGTTGAATTTTAGGTTCTAAAGTTAGGGCCTTAAACCAACATCATATATAATCAAAATTATATTTTAAGTCCCTTTGGAAATTACATAGTAGAGCAGGGGTCTCTAACCTGGCCTGGGCCACACAGCAGGAGGTGAGTGACAGGTGATCTGTATCTGCATTTACAACTACTTCCCATCATGTGCCTTACCACCTGAGCTCCACCTCCTGTCAGATCAGCAGTGGCATTACATTGGCATATATTATATTGTAATAATAATGGAAATAAAGTGTGCAATAAATGCAATGTACTTGAATCATCCCAAAACCAGCCCCTGCACCCCATTTTTAGAAAAATTGTTTTTTACAAAACTGGTCCCTGATGACAAAAAGGTTGGGGACCACTATATTAGATACCAACATACTATGTTAGTAGATTAATGTGACTTTTTTTTTAAACTCCATCATTGGAACATAATGTTTCTTAAGTTGAGGACCAGATGAAATACTTGGCTTACATTTAAGGGCTATGTTGTACAAATAATTAAACACTAGGAAAATAGCAATAAAAATAGCAGATTCTTCTATAACACTTATAAAACTATCTGCCAGGCACTGTTCTATATATCAGTGTTTTTTTATATATCAGTTCATTTAATCTCTTCCAGACCTGTGAGACAGGATCTATTATTTTCACCTCCATTCTACAGATGAGAAAACTGAAGCACAGACATTTTAAGAATTTTGTCCATGGCCACACAACTGGTGAGCTCTGAGCAACCAAACACTCCACTAGCCTGCTTGCTCATAGTACTTCTGCTTTTAAAGAGTTGCTCACCCAGAGATATACAGGCACAGGATATACAGGCACAGGAACTGACTGAAAGAATAGGAGCGTCATCTCAAGTTTACTCGGGAATGTATGCTCATAAAATGGTGTGATAGACATTATCTGTACCATTTACATTATTTCTCTCTTTTTTTTTTTTTACTTAAGTCATTAAGTTAAATACATACATTGTGTGACTCCATTGTAGTTAATATGCCTCTTGCAAATTTTTTGGATTATTCATCTAAATCATTTGTGTGTATATGAGTGACAAACACTTGGACCTGCTGGCCTCACTTATCCCAAGCTACATCTAAGTCACTGAGCAGAGCGTAACTTAATCCAAACCTTTTCCTATATTGTTAAAATTGCTGACTGGATTTTTCTGAAATTTTAAAAAATACTTTGCTAGTAACAACTAACCTCATATAGCAGGCTGGGTTTTCTTGTCTGATTTGGATTATAATGAGGCAGAGCATTGTGATTTATTCACTAATCATTAACCCTGAAATGTGGCACAATTTAATTAAAATGTTTTTTGAATGCTTGCTATTTTCAATGAGTAGAATAAACATTTGCCAAGTATGAAGATAGTTTGAAAGTGACAACTAAATGGAATAGGCCTATAATGATAGGTATGACTGCTGAATTATTATTCTGTTGGTTTAATTAAAATAATAATACATTGGAAAGTACTGATATTCTTAATCCATTTCTTAGAAACAACCTAAAAGTAAATTCAGAAAATATAAACAAGTTTGATATCATCACAGATACCTCAAATGCTAAAAACCAGGAATAATCTGAATATTTGCAAATCTGGATAGTCTTTAACGACTAGTTATATTCTGTGCCTCGGCCAAGAGAAAGTGAAAATATTTATTTTTGTAGAGAGCTAGCTAATAAACTGATACTTCACCAGCAGTGTCGGTGCCATCTACTTAAGTATTATGTCTCTAATAAAGGAACTAGAAAGATCCAGTAGAGAAAATCAGAGATTCAGATAGCAGATACCATATTTGACTTTTCTGGTAGACTCACAGAATCATTTGTAGATGTGGAAGAGACTAGAGGTCATATGTTTCATTGTTTTTATGTTATAAAAGAAGCAGTTACAGGAAAGCTAAATGACTTATGATGATCCCATAACTACGCAGCAACGAAACTGAGACCAGAACCCTAGTTCCCTAATTCTCAGTTCATTGTTTTTTTCTTTCTCTACAGGCTTTCTTTTCTTTGTACTGAAAAAAATAAAATAACAATATACCTTTGTTTATCTTTCATAATGCTTCTAAATCAATTGCATTTTATTCTTACACCCTCCAACCACGTGTTTGAAATTAATAGAACAGAAGTTATTGCTATTTTATTGATTAGGAAAGAGAAATACAACAAAATTTATATGATTTACCCTAGATCATATAGCTATTTAAAGACAAAAAAAAAAAAAGACCCAAAGCTGAAGCTTTCTATCTACTATCACTATTCTCGTCCCATTGTACTGCCATCTCCTTGGTGAAGAAGTATTCTTACACATTCACATAAATATGGAGACTGAAAATAAGTCATTTCCTTTGCTTGAGGTTCCTTATATAATGATTATGTGTTGTATACTTGTCACTAGATAATTTGACATTTTCTTCCTTTTTAGGTAAGACAATGTCAGAATATTTAAGTTTTTCTAAATTGATTCTTGATTTTAGGTATAGAGTTTTATGGGACATTTTTTTCAAGTTAATTCAAATGAAGCGCCAGTAATTTCTTTGGCATTTTTTCAGAATTGCTTCAGATAGCCGGAATTAGCCCACATGGTAATGCTTTAGGAGCATCAATGCAGCAACAGGTAAATCAACAAATACCTCAAGAAAAACGAGGAGGTGAAGTATTGGATTCTTCTCATGATGACATAAAACTTGAGAAAAGTAATATTTTGCTGCTTGGACCAACTGGGTCAGGTAAATAGCTTCTTGAGAAAATTTACTCCTCATTTTAAAAAATAGAATACAAATGATTCTGTAACCTGTGTTTTGAGATTCTTGCTCTTGAGAAGAAAACCTTCTGGATACATCATTAGTGTCCCTGCATTGGCTTCAAGTCGAATTTGAGGCATTGGTACTGCCCTTCAGGGCAATCCCTAACATCTCAAAAGGAATAACAAATAACAGGCTGAATGCTGTGGCTCCTGCCTATCATCTCAGTGCTTTGGGAGGCAGAGATAGGAGAATTGCTTGAGGCCTAGAGTTCCAAACGAGCTGGGCAAATAGCGAGATTCCATCTCTACAAAAAATTAGCCAGGCTTGGTAGTGCGTGACTGTAGTCCTAACTACTCAGGAGGTTGAGTCGGGAGAATCACTGAGCCCAGGTTGTCGGAGACTGCAGTGAGCCATGATCATGCCACTGCACTTTGACCCCTGGGTGACAGAGTGAGACCCTGTCTCAAAAAATAAATAAACTAGATCTAAACAGAAAGGAGAAAGGATATAGCAGTTAACTTTTTAATATATATCACTCAAATTTATTTTGTTGGAAAATTATGTGTCAATAAATGTTTAGTAAACTTTTAGTTACTGTTTCTATTTGTAGGCAAAACCCTGCTGGCACAAACCCTAGCTAAATGCCTTGATGTCCCCTTTGCTATCTGTGACTGTACGACTTTGACTCAGGCTGGATATGTAGGTGAAGATATTGAATCTGTGATTGCCAAACTGCTCCAAGATGCCAATTACAATGTGGAAAAAGCACAACAAGGTATCTTTTCAGCATAACTTTTCTCTTCAGATTAAGTATATTGGGGAGTCAGTTTAATATTAGGAGATAATATAACTCTTATTTTGAATTAAAGACTAAAATTCTGTAATTATATAAAAGAACCTATGTCATACATTTTCTAGCATAACTGATGAAGGGCCATAAAGTTTGCTTTGCCTTATAAGATGGCTGGAAGAATGAAAACAGGCAAAATTACTATTACATTTGGTCCATAATACTGTCTTTGCTTGATTTGTTCTGACTCCTCTCAGATTTCTAATGCTTGGCTTAGGGCAGGGTTGGGGCTGGGGCAAGGACAGGAGAGTGCCAGATGAGTCTAGAAGCCATTTAGCCTATTGACCTACAAGATGTCATAGATGGTGCATTTCTCATTTCTCCATCTCTTCATCTGTCCTCATTCACATAAAAAGCTTTACAGCTTCCTGTTCAGATTTTGGTAAGATAACAGTATAGTGGGAAAGAGTAAGCTAAAGCTTTGTTAGTGCTGGACTATATATACTTCCTACTTCATACTCTAAAGCAGGAGTCCCCAGGCCCTGGGACGCAGACCAATACTGGTCCTGGTTGGAACCTGGCCACTCAACTGTTAGCAGCTGCAGTAGATTCTTATAGGAGCTTGAACCTGTTGTGAACTGTGTATGTGAGGGATCTAGGTTGCATGCTCCTTATGAGAATCTAATGCCTGATGATCTCACCTTTACCCCCATCCCATGCATGGAAAATTTCTCTTCTGTGAAACTGGTCCCTGATGCCAAAAAGGTTGGGGACCACTGCTCTAAAGGACTTAAACACATTAGTATGGTGAATAACTGCTGTCAAAGAGATTTGGTTATCATATCCAAATGATATTCTATAAAATAAATTATAAAACACTTGTACAAAATGATGAATGGGGAATAACAGTGCATTTTTATATGTCAAGCCATTGCTTATGTTAAGGATGAAAGATTGAATAACCTTGCTGCCTAGTGACCTAGACTTTTAAAACTGAGGCTAATTTATGTGTATCTTTTTCATATTATAAATAGAATCCTCCTTAAATTATAGGAATTGTCTTTCTGGATGAAGTAGATAAGATTGGCAGCGTGCCAGGCATTCATCAATTACGGGATGTAGGTGGAGAAGGCGTTCAGCAAGTAAGCAGTTGAATATTTTGTTCAAGCCTACTAAAAGGAAGGGAATACATCAACCTCCCAAATATTGTACGTTTGGTTTCGCATTCAATTAGATTCTGTTTTGTTTATTTCTCCCACCCCAAACTCCACATACCATTTTATAGAAGTTCAGAGCCTAACAAAAAGTTGTTAACTATGTTAAATAACAAATTACCTTGCTTAGGCAATTAAAAATATTTTGACGCCGGGCTCGGTGGCTCAGCCTGTAATCCCGCGCCTTTGGGAGGCTGAGGTGAGTGGATTGCCTGAGACCGCGGGTTCGAGACCCGCCTGGGCAGCGAGACCTCATCTCTACAATAAATCAAAAATTAGCCGGGCGTGGTAGAGCGCGCCTGTAATTCCGGCTACTCAGAAGGCTGAGGTGGAAGGATCGCCGGAGCCCAGCAGGTTGAGGCTGCAGTGGCAGGGAGTGGCCACTGCACTCCAGTCTGGGCAACAGAGTGAGACTCCAACTCAAAAAAAAAAAAATGTATATTTTGAAGAACAGAAAAATTGAAATTTAATCTTTGTTTTTAATCCTTCAAAGACCCAGTTAAAATGTCTAGAAGATGCTTGAAGAAAGTTCTGATTGTAACTAGATATGAACAAACTATGTACCTGTTTCTTATTTCTCTCACTTTGAAGATAGGTATAAAATAGTGTTTCATTCCTTGCATAGTCTTAATTGAAATCACAATGATCTTTTGGCCAACGTGATCTTTTAATAGTAACCAATTATTACAAACTACTAAAGGGTGAGGAAAATTGCTTCACTTTTTTGAACAGAGACATTGAGAGGCATATCACACTTAATAAAATGTGCTGGATAATTTTTTTAAATAAAGATATCTCAAAATATGATATTCTCAAAGTTTAACACTAGGAGTAGAATTTTAATTTATGTGAATAACATATTTTCAACTGTTTTCAAATTTTGAATGTTCCCACCCTGTTTGGGTAACATTTTATCCAGTTATAATTCTGTCTTTATGTCAGAGTTATGTGTTTACCATCAAAAACAGCCTCTTAAGATTGAACATTTCCTGTATTACAGTGCATCAGGAATTCTGTAACCATTTCAAATAAACGTATGAATTATTAACTTAGGTGCATTCGATTTTCATGTTAGTTGTTGAAATGTGGGAGTTTTCATTAGTTGTACTCATTGACCATAACCACATATTATTTTCCCCATTGAATCCATTATCTAAAATATAATAAATAATGTACTTATATGGTGATGCTATAAATCATTCATCCTTTATTTAGGGCTTATTAAAACTACTAGAAGGCACAATAGTCAATGTTCCAGAGAAGAACTCCCGAAAGCTACGTGGAGAAACAGTACAAGTTGATACAACAAACATTCTGTTTGTTGCATCTGGTGCTTTCAATGGTTTAGACAGAATCATCAGCAGAAGGAAAAATGAAAAGGTAAGTGTTTTTGAGGGGTTACTAGAAGGATAGGGAACATTTAAAGAATGGATACTTTTTATTCTTATATCTGCTGGCTACTAGTCATGGATTTTAAGCACTGGGTTTTCTTACAGAATATCAAAAATATACAGTAAGTCCTCACCATTGTTGATGGGTTCTTGGAAACTGACTTTAAGTGAAATGACAGCATGTCTTTGAATAATGTCATTTTGTTCAATGTTATTTTCTTATAATATTGATGAGAAAAAAATGGTTTGTTGTGTGTCATTTTGCTTAAATTTGTAGTTTCCAAGAACCTATCAGTGACATTAAGAGAGGACTTAACTATTTCTAGTTATTTAAAATTTCAAAGTAGTAAATTGGAAGGTTTCTAAATATCATCTATGTATGACCATTGTTAAAGTGTAACTTGAGTTCAATTTAATATTTTATCTAATGAATTTTAAAATTTGAGGTAGCTGCTTTATCAGTAAAATTTCTGTTCATTACTCCTGCCCAATTCACTGGAGCCCAAAAAACAAGTTATCTCCATTGCTCTTGTTCATAGAGTCTATCATAGATCACTGCAGATATTCACAAATGGAGGTAGCACTTGGGAGGGCAGGTGAAGGGTTGTGGTCTCAAGTAGTTTTATAGATATTTCTTAAACATTCTTATAAACCTTGTTTTTAACTCTGATTGAGACTTCCTTTCTTTTTTTTTTTTTAAACTCCTGGGTTCAGGCAGTCCTTCCACCTCAGCCTCCTGAGTAACTGGGAGTACAGGTGTGTGCCACCATGCTAGGCTAATTTTTTAAAAAAATTTTTTTGTAGAGATGAGGTCTCTCTATGTTGCCCAGTCTGGTCTTGAACTTCTGGGTTCAAGTCATTCTCCTGCCTCAGCCTATCAATGGGCTGGGTGCAGGCATGAGCCACTGTACCTGGTCTGGGACTTATTTCTTCATGTCCTCTTGGTATATGCCCAGTACCTATTTGTTGATTGAGTACAATAAAATGAATGTCAGACTGGGCGTAGTGGCTCACGCTTGTATTCCCAGCACTTTGAGAGACTGAGGCAGCAAGATCACTTGAGACCAGGAGTTGGAGACCAATTTGGGCAACATTGTGAAACCTTGCCTCTACAAAAAGTTTTTTTTTCTTTTGAGTTGGAGTTTCACTCTGTTGCCCAGGCTGGAGGGCAGTGGCACGCTCACAGCCACCTCAGCGTCAACCGGCTGGGCTCAGTTGATCCTTCTACCTCAGCCTTCCAAGTAGCTGGAACTATAAGTGTGTGCTACCATGCCTAGTTAATTTTTTTTATTTATTGTAGAGATGAGGTCTCACCAAGTTGCCCAGGCTGTTCTTGAACCTGTGGGCTCAGGCAGTCCCCTTACCTCGGCCTCCCAAAGTGCTGGGATTACAGGCTTGAGCTACTGCGCCTGACAAAAAAATTTTTAAAAATTAGTCAGATGTGGTGGCATATATGTGTAGTCCTAGATATCTAGGAGTCTGAGATGGGAGGATTGCTTGAGCCCAGGAAGTTAAGGCTGCAGTGAGCTATGATTACACCATTACGTTTTAGCCTAGGCAACAGAGGGAGACCCTGTCTCTTAAAAAAACAAACAAAAAAGGTAATGTCAAGATAGTAACAAGAAGCCCAGAAAGCACCTGTATTTTCCATGTTTTTGTGTTTCACGTAATAGTCACAAATGATCACTTTTATATTACATAATATTCTACCTAAATGAATATGTCATAGATCAACTGCTTGTTATATTACTTGCTTAAATCTTCTTGGCCTTAAATGTACTAGTTTAAGTAGTAGTAAAAAAAGAAAAAAAGACTTCTGTTTGTATAGTTGCCCATGGTAATTTATTTGCCTAATCTAGATAAAAAAAACATTTTTACAAATACTAATTGAGCCACATAATATTGTTATTCTTCAGTACCAGGCCTTATTCAGTAGGTATAAGTTTAAATTTTAATTTTTATATTAATTTATGTAGGTTTCAATGCAGGAAAAACATACATTAATTTAATATGCAAATATATGTTTTTCTTGCCATTAAAATTCTGCATAAATTAGCCTAGCAAATTAGAAGAAATTATTTATTTGTTTATGTGTGAGACAAATGAACCTTGTATTTGAAATTCTGTAAACAAAAGCAAGGACCATGTTCTAATATTTATTTATAGTTAGTACTTCTTACTTCCAAAAAGAATTTGAAGCTAGAAACATGTAGGACAGAACAGTTAAAAGTCATGTCAGAAAAATAATCAGAAATATGCAGAAGGAAGGTTTAAGTCACAGTTCTGATATTGGGAATTATATCCCTCCTTTAGCTATGAACTTCTTAATAAAAAATGGGGGGAAATCATGGCCTCTCAGTCTTACTACCTGAAAGAAGAAGCATATGAGGTCTTCAGGAAAGGCTAATTTTGAAAAATTTGTCATATAGATCTTTATGAAGGAGACAGAGACATGAAAGACTTTTCTAGTGATTTTATAGAGGATTAAAGACATCCATGTGGCTATTGTTTTTATCAATTCTCATTGAAAGTAAAGGTTACAGTATTAAATAATAAGCCTGCATTTCAACCATATGAAAACCATATGAAAGTCCTCTTGCCGTTTCTTATGCCCTCTCCTGTTGCAATTCAGGTAGCAAATATCTGTTCATCTTTTAAGATTCAAACTATTAAATGACTAGTCAGTTCCTTTATTAAAGCTTTCTCTGTCATCTCTCTCTCCATTATGTGGAACTTTTCTTCCTTTTCACTGCCACAGTGCCCTGTGCAGTTGTCTGTCATTATAGCTAAGATATTTTAATGCTGTCATGTATTCTTCCTCTAAATAAGTCCATAAGAGCTGTCTTTAGCCTTGTATCCCCAGTGTTTTATAATAATGCTTAATAAATACTTATTTATATATGTAAGTGTATATGTACTTACATAAATGTATGTGCATACATATTTATTACTATATATACTTATGTGTAATAAATGTTTAATATTTTAATTATTGAATGAAAGGTATTTTGCTTTCTGATGCACTAACTGTTCTTGAACACAGTTAGTGCATCAAAGAGAATCTAAGGAATAGTATCTTAGTCTCTTTAGGCTACTGTAACAAAATACCATAGACTAGGTAACTTCCAAACAACAGAAATTTATTTCTCACAGTTATGGAACCTGGGAAGTTCAAGATCAAGGCACCAGTAGATTTGATATCTGGTGAGGACCTACTTCCTCATAGACTTCCCTCTTTTCACTGTAACCTTACATGGCAGAAGTGCAAAGTCTCTGGGATCTCTTTATAAGGGCACTAATCCTATTAATGAAGACACCATCTTTATGACCTAATCCCTTCCTGAAGACCCCAACTCCTAATACCATCACCTTGGGGATTAGAATTTCAGCATATGAATTTTGGGGGACATCAGCACTCAGTTCATTGTAACTGGATTTTTAGCTTAGGCTAATTCTCACAAATTATGTATGTCTCTTGTTCTTTTGACAAAACCTATATAGCTTTTGTCAAAATTAAAGTTTCTGGCAGTTCCTGGGGCATAACTTATTTAGGTTAACTGAAGCAGGATCTGTACACCTTTACACACCCAATTTTTTTCAGCAAAGTTAGCAGTCTTGTTCAATGTCATCCTTACATGTTATTTATGAAATCTAAATTATTCTAACTCATAGGTTGATATATACAACCTAAGATCATGATTTAGTAGAATGTTTAGCAGTGACTTAAGACACTTGTAGATAATTTTCTCATACGGTTGCTTGTTCCATAGTCACTACTCTATTTTACAGTATTATAAAATTAACTTTGGTTACAAAAAAATTACTATATCCATTTTTACAGTTCTTATACCTTTTAGAAACCACACTTGCCCAGAAGTCTTGAATAAACCCTGCAACCTTATTTATCTGAGTTTTAGGGGACTTTCTTTATAGTTCTTACTTACCTACTTACCTATTTTTGTTAGAATTCATTCTTTGAGGGTTGGTTATTACACAGTGGTTTAGGTTCTTATTTCTGAAGGTAGACAGACCTGTGTTCAAGTCCTGGCTTAGCCACTTACATCAAGATGACCTTGGTCAAGGAACTTAATCCTTTCTAAGCCTGTTAGAAAGACCACATAACATATGTATGTAAAGTACTTAATACCACGCGAGTTAATTTATAATATGCATCGTTTCTTTGGCAGTATCTTGGATTTGGGACCCCGTCTAATCTGGGAAAAGGCAGAAGGGCTGCAGCTGCTGCAGATCTTGCTAATCGAAGTGGGGAATCAAATACACATCAAGACATCGAAGAAAAAGATCGATTATTACGTCATGTGGAAGCCAGAGATCTCATTGAATTTGGCATGATTCCTGAGTTTGTGGGACGGTTGCCTGTGGTAGTTCCGTTGCATAGCCTAGATGAGAAAACACTTGTACAAATACTAACTGAGCCACGAAATGCTGTTATTCCTCAGTACCAGGCCTTATTCAGCATGGATAAGGTTAGATTTTTATTTTTCATACTTACTATTTTCTTGCTATTGAAATTCTACATAAATTAGCCTAACAAAAAGGCTCATCTAGAATACCATCCTATTCCTCACAAACTATGGATCTAGAGATTAAGGAATTCTCATTGTGTTACATGAGAATTTAGGAGTTGGTTTTGTTTCTTCTAAATTAAAATCATAATTGCTGTATAAAGCCCAAGAATATTCATAGAGAAAAATGATGCCATTAACCTACCCTACCCTCCCCAAGCCAGACACAGGATTGTCTTTTCAGTCTTGATATTCTAAGTGCTTTTATTAGGACATACTATGTATACTTTTTAAATTCTTTAGTCTAGGGGGAGTTTTATTAGCTCCTACATCTCCATCTCTGTAGCCAAATACCTGGCGGTCACTCTAGCCCACACATTCAATCAGATGGCAAATGGTTTGGGTTTAAGAACTTCGTGTCTCTGATTATCAGTCTCTTCTCTGTTGCCACAGCTGCTGCCTCACATCAAGCCCCTTTATCATTCTTTATGAGTCCCTAATTGGTCTGCCTACTCGTATCTGTCTCTGACCACCACTACCACCAAAATACCACTGTTTTCCTTTTCCAGAATGGATCATTTTAAAATTATTGAGCACAGTGCCCAATACAGATATTAAGTTCTTACATATTTAGTGAATTATTAAACACAGGGCTAAGGATTTTACTGCCTAAAATCCTTCAGTGGTTCCCTAGTCATATTTGTATGTCCTCACTCTAGTGCTCTCTTAGCTCTATGTGCATATACTGGGCTGCAAATGCTAGTTTGCTAATCCATCATCACCCAATAGTCTGTAGGTTGCTTGAGAGCAATGGTGATGTCTAATTCGTCATTCAGTCCCTGATATGTAAGCATATAGAGGTTCAGAGAAAGTTGAATAAAGTCCTAGGAAGTTCATGTTAAACTAGAAAATCTTTGTAAGTTTAAGAACAAACTTGTGATTCATAATACTCATAATGATAGGTTAATTGATGAAATAAGTGCTTTTGAAAGCAAGGTTCTAAAACACCATGAGAAATAGTCCTCTTACTTAAATTTTATATTACCTGGAGGTAAAAATTAATAACCAAAAGTTATTTAGTAAGCCAAGATCTTATGAAATCTGTTATTCTTAAGTATATATATATTTTTATATTCTCAATATTTGAACTATTTCAAATATTTTGAAATTTCTAGTACTTTTTAAAGATTTGTCTGTCGGACACAGTGGCTCATGCCTATAATCCCAACACTTTGAGAGGCAGAGGTGAGAGGATTGTCTGAGCCCATGGGTTAGAGACTAGCCTGGGCAATTTGGTGAGACCTTGTCTCTACAATTAAAAAAAAAATTAGCTGGATGTGGCGGCGCGCATCTGTGGTTCCAGCTATTTGGAAGACTGAGGAAGGATTACATGAACCCAGCAGTTCGAGGCTGAGGTAGACATGAGTGTGCCACTGCACTCCAGCCTGGGTGATAGAGTGAGACTCTGACCCAGAAAATGAAAAAAATTTGTCTGAAGTTTTACCTTTGCTTTGCAGGATGAGAAGGTTAGTAACACTATTTAAAATGTAGTTATAGGAACCCAGTGAAAGTTTATTATGAGGAAAGTAATGAAGTCTAAGTGATACTTTAGTCTGAAAAGGGATAGAGTCACAACATATAGATTCTCACCCTGCCTGTGTTTCTATCATTGACTCAGGCTACTTTAACCCTCTGGAGCTATCTGTGATATCAGAATATTGGTTCCTTTTAATTCTAAAATTCTGTGATTCTAAGACCAGTAATAGTGGTAGGTAGTAATAGTTAATTGATCAAATGGTTATATTAGGAAAACATCATCAAGGATTATCTAAATTCTCATTTCTTTTTAATATATCTGTAGTGTGAACTGAATGTTACTGAGGATGCTTTGAAAGCTATAGCCAGATTGGCACTAGAACGAAAAACAGGGGCACGAGGCCTTCGGTCCATAATGGTAAGTTGGCATTATTCTACAAAAACTAGATTATTTCTTGGTCTGAGTTTTGAGACTATTAAGCTTCCTGTTTTTCTTAGGGAAATATATCTAGAGAATTGGTCTAAAGTTGTTTTTTGGGTTTTGAGTTTTTTTTTTTTTTTAGAAAAAAGAACAATAAGCCTGTAACCCCGCGCTTTGGGAGGCTGAGGTGAGTGGATTGCCTGAGCCCGTGGGTTCGAGATCTGCCTGGGCAACTTGGTGAGACCTCATCTCTACAATAAATCAAAAATCAGTCGGGCGTGGTAGCGCGTGCCTGTAATTCCGGCTACTCGGAAGGCTGAGGCGGAAGGATCGCCAGAGCCCAGCAGATCGAGGCTGCAGTGGCAGAAAAAAAGAACAATAGATTACATTTTTCTTTTTTCCAAAAAAAAAAAAAAAAAAAAAAGCTTTAAGGTGTTTGCAACAAAGGGCAGACACATAATATGATTAACGAAATAGAAAATTAGGATTGTGGGAAGGAGAATTTCAGGAAATTTTACATTGACCTTTGACTAAGCCCACAACCCTTTCTTGAGCCTTTTGAAATCTCCATTCTTGTTTGTTTTTAAGTTGCAGATGCCATGGCATTTTACCCCTGAGTTCTTCAGTATGATATAAACTCACTATTTTTTATTTGTTACAGATCATAGGGATCTAGCCTATTTTCCTGCCACCACCCACTTTCTTCCTTGGAGTTCTCTCTTCTAACCCCAGGTCTAGCTGTACAGTGGGTTGCTATTTTCTGACCTTCTCCCAAAGCAAGCATATGTTCCTATTCCTTACTGACACAGTCTCCTCTTAGCAGGACTTTTGATTGGAACTATATATCTATCACAGACAGTTTAAGATTTTACTCTCTGTTGAGGACCTGGACTTAAGGTGCTATTGATTAAGATTAGATCTATAAACCTGCAGACTAGAAGTGTGTGTGATATATAGTTTTCAATTTTTAGAAAATTTGATAAACTTACCTAGTATTTTCCTTTAGATCTACTATAGCACTTTGAAACATGCTCATTTGAAGTCATAGCTTAAAATTGAAGAACTTGGCAAAGATGATTTAGGATTAGACTGTTTTCAAAGTAAGGATTACCAGTTGACCTCTTCTGTCATAGAATAAGACAGAAATGCTTCTAAGTCATATCTGAGTCTGGAAGTACAGTCTTTTTATATGTGCGTGTTGACAGCACTACTGATAAATAGCCTTCCATAATAGAAAGGCTTCTCTGAATTTAGTTAGAAGCTGTTTTAATGTAAAGAATATGAAAGTTTTTACATTGCCTTCAACATTCAGTTCCTAGACTATAATAAAGACTTAGTGTTTTTTGAGTGAATGGATTCAATTGGTGATTTAAGGAATAAAATCATTTTGTGTGTAATTTGTTTTCCATGTTATCCATTACTTTTTATCTCTTTAGGAAAAACTGTTACTAGAACCAATGTTTGAAGTCCCTAATTCTGATATTGTATGTGTGGAGGTTGACAAAGAAGTAGTAGAAGGAAAAAAGGAACCAGGATACATCCGGTAAAGTGTATTTTCAAGTCAGAACAGATTTAAAAGAATTTTTTTTTTTTTGAGTCAGGGTCTCGTTCTGTCCAGATCTAAAATTTAAGATCAGCTCTTATTGCTAAGGTATATTTTTCTATCTTTTAAAAAGTGCATAAAAATCCTTATATTTCTAAGAGAAGCAATAATCTCAAGTTTTCTATAGAAAACTTTAACTTGAGTTGATAATAGTATTTTGTGAGTCATTTTGAACATTGATCTTCAAATAGCCTCCAGTTTTTTCCCCTAAGGAAAAAGTATCAAAAGAGATACAACAGTAGTCTAAATGAGATTAAAATGAACTTTGCTGCTAATTCTCTAAATTCATGAATGACTTTTTTCATGTCTTTTCACAAGACTAAAACTTTGTTGTCATCGTTTTTTTCTCTCATTAGTATCAGCAGCTGACAAATTTAACGCATCTTTCACTGCTTTAACTTGTCTATTCCAGGGATCAGCGAAGTTTCTTGTAAAGGGCTAGGTAAGGTCTATAATGCAACAATGCAATACCATTTTCATAGTATGAAGCAGCCACAGACAATATATAAATAAATGATCATGTCTGTGTTCCAGTACAAAAACAGGCAGTGAGCTAGATTTGGATTACAAGCTATAGTTTATTTTTTATTCAATCAGTTTATTATACCGTGCTTGGCATTAGTGTTACCTCCACAAAAGTTAGGTTTCTGTTTAACTCAGTTACAAGGTATGTTATGTTTTATGTTTGTTTATCTTCCAGGATAACGAAACAGTTGATTAGTTTTGAATAACCTTAGTTATTCAGAGAGACATAATATTATTTTTGTTGTTTAATGACACTGATGTGTTGCTTTTAAAGGAATTGTGGTAGTCTGACAATCATAAATTTTACTAATTTGAGTCAAGTTCGATTTAGGCAGAATTCGTCAGTTTCTTTACCATATACATGTATGTTAAATTCAAGCATTTGAGTTGAAACAACATAAACCTTGAAAATTGAAGTCTTGTCCATTTCAGTAATAAATTTATTAGGGAAAATGTTGGGATATTTATTTGCAACTCTTGGTTGTGTAGTCTGTTTCCCATATTTCACCACTAAGTAATCTTAATATTAAAAGTATTCTTGCTGGGCACGGTGGCTCATGCCTGTAATCCCAGCACTTTGGGAGGTGGAGATGAGAGGATTGCTTGAACTCAGGGGTTTGAGACTAGCCTGAGCAACATGGTGAGACCTCTTCTCTACAATAAATCAAAAAATTAGCCAGGAGTGGTAGTGCATGCCCGCAGTTCCAGCTACTTGGAAGACTGAGGCAGAAGGATCACCTGAGCTCACCAGGGTGAGGCTGCAGTGACTATCAATGTGCCACTGCATTCCAGCCTGGTGTCAGAATGAGACTCTGACTCAATAAATAAATAAATAAATAAACAAATAAATAATAAAAGTACTCTTTATGTTTTCTATTTTTGTGGGGTTTTTTTAAGCTAGGGGAATTAATTTACTGTTTTGAGACTAGAAATCATGTTTACCTCCAATTTTTATTAAAAAACAAACACATGGCTTTTCATTATAGGGCTCCAACAAAAGAATCTTCTGAGGAAGAGTATGACTCTGGAGTTGAAGAAGAAGGATGGCCTCGCCAAGCAGATGCTGCAAACAGCTAAACTATTCACTTGCCATCCTGTATATAAAGCTTTTCCTTCTTTATTTAGGATAACTGCCTTTGCAGTCTGATATTAAAGGCATTGGATCTACCTTGGATGTCATACATGGTCAGAGAAGTCTTTAGGATAAGAATCAGATCATGTATATTATTGTAACATCACATTGATTTATACAGAGGACATTATGTGGACTTTAATGACACAGTGTTTAGAGATAAAATGTACATTATTTTGGTTCCATTTTTTAAAAATGCTTTAACAAAATTCTTAGGAATTCTTTTAAGCAATGCAGGTATTGCAATAACTGTGGATTTTACAATAATGTTGCTCTACAAATGGGAAAATAAATTCTTTAAAATTGAATATTGGGATACCATTCTTTAGTGTTACCTTTTTCTACCCACATAATATTTCCTGAAAATATTAGAAATTTATTCATCTTAAATATTGGAGCAGGTAGTTTTCAAGTAGTTAAAAGTTTATGGGCAAATACCCTGAAGAGCTATATTTTGACAAATTTGTTTAGCTGTACTCTTAGTCTCATCTGCTAATGCATGATGCTAACTTCCCACTTGCTACTGTAAAGGCCATTTTTTTAAACTGAGAGTTATTGTTTGAATTATTTGCCATCTTTAATCCATTTTACTACTATGGGTGAGTAAATTGAATTGAAGTCCGGCTTAAATCTTCAGAAAAGGAGCATACGTCTAATTCTATAAATAAAATGCAGTATCAGTCATAGTAACAACCATGTGCTGAACTAAATAAAATACCCTGCTATTGTGTATACTAACCTAAAATACTGAACTAGTTTTTTTTGTTTTGTTTTTTGGTGCTGAACATTTTGTCTAATTCTTTGGCTTTCGAGAACATTAAAGAAAATCTGTGTTTTGCTATCAGCCAAAGTGACTGTGTTCACACTAAAGTATGGGTTATTAACGCTCGTTATATAGCAAAGTAAAAAGTGGGAGGAGGGAGAATTTGGGGACTTAAAAATGAAAATTATATAATTTAATTCCATAAATATTAAAATATTTGGGTATCTTTTAAGCTTTTTCCCCCTTCTATAGTGTTACAAGTTCCAATATTATTCATTCATTCAGTTCAGTCTCATTTAAAATTATTCAAATCAGGGTACATTTAAATATTCTTATTTTCTGGTTTATAGACTGCTGAGTTTTCCTTTTACCCACTTTTCTTAGGAAAAGAACTTTAAACTATTAGCAGATTTTAGTTTTTTGTGGTTTTTTTTGAGTTGGAGTCTCACTCTGTTGCCCAGACTGGAGTACAGTGGCCGCTCCTGGCCACTGCAGCCTCGACCTGCTGGGCTTCGGCGATCCTTCCGCCTCAGTCTTCCAAAGAGCTGGAACTACATGCGCGCGCTACCACGCCTGGCTAATTTTTTGATTTATTGTAGAGATGAGGTCTCGCTGCCCAGGCGGGTCTCGAACCTGCAGGCTCAGGCAATCCACTCACCTCAGCCTCCCAAAGGCGCGGGATTACAGGGTGAGCCACTGAGCCCGGCTCTATTAGCAGATTTTAAATCCTGTTGATGAAGAGTTGAATTTTCTATGATATAATAAAAGGGCTGTAGGATATCATCTATTTATGGCTGAGGTAGTACCAGAAATGCACTTTGTATTGCAGAGTGTTTAAGCCTGTTTACTATTATGTAGTATGAAATAGAAACATATCCTTCTTGGTCTTTCTAGTAGTGGTTCAGGTTCTCCTCAGGAAATCTTTCATATTATAACTTTGTTCATAGCATCATCGTCTTTTTTGTAGAGTGGAAATCAGAGTAGTTGCTAAACATATTGAGGGTAATTCTCCAGAAATGGACTGGGAGGCATTTTAGCCACAACGACTTACATTTGGTTTTGGAAATTGTTAACAAAGCATAATCGATGTTTTTAAATCAAACACAGCAGAATATAACTATAATTTGTATCTTGGAACTTATGTTTTGGCATTTGAATAAAACAAAAGGACTAAATGAAAGCCATTGTGGTGGTGTGTGCGTACTGCAAAGGTGCAGGAGCGCTCTGCCTTGACAGCAACAAGCACAGCCAAAGTGGTGCCATTTTCAAAAGGGTATAGATGTCATGTGAGCTGCTTCATTCAAGGGATCGGTTATCCTTGGCATTTCCATGTCTATCTAATAAGTGTTCTTCTAGTTGTAAATGCCACAAAGTTTTACTAAAATTTGCTAAACATTTATTGAAAAGCCCTACTTAAATGTCCCATGTTGAATTTGACACAAGGGACACAGATGAAACTTTAAAGAACATTGTGAGTCTTATAGGAAAAACAAGTGTCAATGTATTATAATTTTGAAGGTCAGGTAGATACCAGGTGTGGTGGCACAGAGATGGATCTAGAAAGACAAATGGGAATTTGCCAATTTTATTTTTTCCAGCCTATTACAATTTTTTTTTTATGACTGAACTACTGTAAATCCACAGGCAACGGTTCAGACACAGTGCTTCTGAAGTGTTTCATCTCACCCTGCCAGGCACAAGCTTCATCAAGCAGAGAGTGGACTCTCCCACCTCTGCTCAGGCATCAGGAGACTAATAGGGCCATTATGGCTGAGCGCCAGCAGCAGCTGGAACAGGCATCCCAAGGGGGTTGACAGAAGCAATCACTGGTGAGCCTGCCAGAGGTCTGAGGGGTAAAGGGGTTGGCACTGAAGAAATCCCTGACATCATTTTGGCACTGCTGACAGATGTACTGGCTTGCTAGATGAACCCATTTAAGCCTGATCCTTAACAACAGTAAAAATAGTGGTGCTCCATGGCCTCACTTGCAGTGAGCCGTGACTTGACTGGTGATCATATTGCCGGAGCTTGTACAGGAACTCCAAAACCTCAGCTGACAAGGTGCTGGTTTTCACTGTGGACAAACCACTCCTATCGCTTACCAGAGTGTCTGCCCAAGATATTGAAACTTGGGGTCTAATTCAATGTTGTATTTGTCAATATAGTCATATAAATCTGTCACCAGAACATTGGCTGTCCTCACCAACTGATTGTAATTGTTATTTCCAGGGAAAAATGGCTCCTTCCGGAAGATCATACTTGCCAGCATACAACCCAAGCTCCTCATATCCAAACTATAATCATACATCTGATAGTGTACAAGTAGCTTGGGACCTTTGAAGTATCAGGAAATATCTTGGACATTATATTCTTATCCAGGATGATAAAACTCAGCCAAACCCCAGTCTATTAGCCATAGCTTTCTGTGCTCATGATCACTTACTATGGGGCTTCACATCTCTGTGCATAATTCCCATGCTGTGAAAATAATCCAGGGCCTTCAGAATCTCACACATGTGAAATTGAATATTATAGTCTGTTAATGTCTGGTACAATTGCTTGAAATGTGTTGTTTAAGTTAAAAAACCAAGGGGAAGGTTCATGACACAGGGTCTTTTACAATGTCTGCCAGTGTGATGATGTTGGGACCGTCTCTCAAATTCTCCAAAATCTTTATTTCACACTTAATTTTCTTCTTTTTTACTAGCTTGAGAATTTTTTTTAGATTAGAAAATACAGTTTATTTAAAGTAAATTAGAGAGAGAGGGAGAGAGAGATTTACCTCTTCGAGGCAAGGGAGGGGACCAAAGCCAGGCAGCATGGCAACAGCCATAGCTCAAAGAGCACATTGCCACACCAGAGTCTAGCAAGGCAAATGGCCGTTTGAGAATTTTAGCAACTTTTTCATTATTTGTGATGTTGATAGCTTCAAATACTTTGCTGTATTTACCCTAGCCTAATTTCGAACTAGCTGGTAGTCATCTTGATTTCCCCATTCTCTGGCATGTGATTCATAATCCCAGTATTCTCGGGGTCTGTGTGTATTAACATCTGTGCAAACTCTGGCCTTGCTTGGCATGGGTCCTGACATGTCAGACAGGTTGGCAGACAAAGCTGGACTTGATGTTTGGAGATCTGGCGTTACTGTGTTCTGAGGCAGCTGGAGGTTAGGACCTTGTTTCAGACTTGTCTTCTTCAAACTGTGGTGGAAGCGGCAGTGGTCGTGGCTGCTGCTCCTTACCTCCCTTCCCTCACACAGATAATATGGGAATTTGCCAATTATAAATGAAAATCTCTGAAGTGTAAAACAACTAGGGAGCCTTAGGAGTTGAGGAATAGGCAACAACTATACTTCCTGTTACACTCTGAGATGACCATTTAATAGTCTCCATTCACCTAAAGTCCTTGCTTCATATTTCACTGAGAAACTATCGGGTGGAACCCATCATCCCACTATCTCTAAATCTACCTGCTTCATCACCTAGTCTCTCTCTGTTGTTACTGCTGAAGGGTCCCTGTTGCAAACTTTCACTCTACATATGCTCTGGGTCCCATATCCCTTTTCATTGCTCAAGGACTTCAGTCCTTTCGTTACTCTCTCCACTGCAGTCTGTGTACTCCTTTGGAATCACTACCAGCAGCTGATCTAGTATTTCCTGTCCTATAGCAAATCCTCTCAGCTTATTCACTTGTTTATCTTCCCAGCTACACCCTAGTTTCCACTGGGAGAAGACTAAGCCTGTTTTGTTAGCTCTATAAACAGCACCTACCATAATGCTTTATAGATTTGGTGCTCCATACATTTTAAAATAAATAGTAGAATGCCATGTACACCAGGTTAAATTGTAAATGTTTATAGAAAGTAGTGGGGTATTAAAAGGGTTTTAAGCAGGAGAGTTGGGTGTGATTATATGTGCATTTTAGATTGTTGGGAAGCACACTTTGATGAACATGAATGGAAGGAAACATAGCTGGAGGCCTACTCAAGAACATTTTTCCTATCTCATCAATTTTCTCCTCTTGTTCAGGTCAGTTCTTACCAGCATACAAAACACAACTTCCTGGAACCCACAGCTTGTTCCCCTTGGCAGCAAGGGGAATTTAAAATTTGGTCTTACATTTTCTACTTCCTTTCTAGGCTTTGACTGTCAGATGAGGAGCTGTTGGAGGGTTTAGCACAGAGGAATTACATCTGACTTAAGTTATTAGTTTGTTTGTTTGTTTGTTGTTGTTTTGAGTTGGAGTCTTACTCTGTCACCCAGGCTGGAGTGCAGTGGCATGCTCACGGCCAGAGCCTTGACCTGCTAGGCTCAGGTGAGCCTTGTGCCTCAGTCTTCCAAGAAGCTGGAACTACAGGCCTGCACCCCTATGCCCGGCTAATCTTTTGGTTTATTGTAGAGATGCGGTCTTGCCAAGTTGCCCAGGCTGTTCTCAAACCCGTGGGCTCAGGCAATCCTCTCACCTTGGCCTCCCAAAGTGCTGGGATTATAGGTGTGTTTGTTTTTTAAGAGACAGGGTCTCATTTTATTGCCCAGGCTGGCATTCATAGC